AGTTTGTATGGGATGATCAGAACCGGTCCAGTTTGTATGGAACCGGTCCAGTTAGTATGGGATGATCAGAACCGGTCCAGGTAGTATGGAACCGGTCCAGTTAGTATGGGATGATCAGAACCGGTCCAGGTAGTATGGAACCGGTCCAGTTTGTATGGGATGATCAGAACCGGTCCAGTTATTATGGAACCGGTCCAGTTAGTATGGGATGATCAGAACCAGTCCAGTTAGTATGGAACTGGTCCAGTTAGTATGGGATGATCAGAACCGGTCCAGTTAGTATGGAACCGGTCCAGGTAGTATGGAACCGGTCCAGTTAGTATGGGATGATCAGAACCGGTCCAGTTAGAATGGGATGATCAGAACCGGTCCAGTCTATCAGAACCAGGTTAATGTTCCAATCAGTTTATCAGGCAGGTTTTAATCCAGATCACTTTGAATGTATTGATTGTCATAAAGTTGAGAAAGTTAAGACCTCCTGCATCATAACTATTCATCAAAGCAGATTTTTTTGATGTAAAGTTTTTTTTTTTCAAATAAAGTTGCAAAGTGATCAATTTTCTTTCCGCATCTTTTGGTCAAAAAAAAAAATCAATGCGGCGTTTCGTTCAAAATGACGTCACTAACAGGTACCTATAGTCATTGGATGAAAGCATCCCTGGAGCTCTGGAGCCCCCTGCTGGTCACTGAGAGGAACTACACCAGAAACACCCCCCATCAATGACTCCCCCTCCTCAAATGGAACCAGCCTCATTGTTCTTCTTTATGGACTGAACCAAAGCAGGTGGCGGGGGGGAGAAACAATGGGGCCGGAGTAACGGAGGGAGGGAGGTGCTGATCCATCTGCTGCTGTGAGGAACTGCCTGATTCACCGCTGAGGAACCAGAACACACACCTGGACCCGACCGGACCGGAACCGGACCGGAGCCGGACCGACTGTGGTTCTGTCTTTGTTTGAAGATGTCCGCTTTGTTTGCGATGGTCCTGCTGCTGATGGTGACCTGGGCCTGCATCTCCTCCTGCAGCGGAGCAGCATCCAGTGAGTACAGCGGGACGGGGACCGGCCGGTACCGGGCCGGTCACTGGGCCAGGTACAGGGCCCGGTACCGGCCGGTCACTGGGCCAGGTACCTGGCCCGGTACCGGGCAGCATGGTTCTGGTGGAGGAGCAGCGGACTGGGTCTGTGGATCAAACAGCATCTGCAGCTCCGCTTTATTTACCTCCATCAATGAGGAGAAGATCTGCTGCTTCTGGTCCCGACTGGGCCGATCAGAACCGGTCCAGTTAGTATGGGATGATCAGAACCGAATGGAACCGGTCCAGTTTGTATGGGATGATCAGAACCGGTCCAGTTAGTATGGGATGATCAGAACCGAATGGAACCGGTCCAGTTTGTATGGGATGA